AAAATACAATATGCCAGTTGCGATGCATCTCATTCGTGGCAGGCTGTATAATGCGGGCACGGCCCGTTGTGTATCATTCAATCTTTAGTAACCTTTCTCACTCTCTTATGAAAGGCATAATGATGGATAATCTCTCGTGTTGCAGTGTGGAATGTTAATTTATTGTAACTAAGGCTCATCCCTTACTTCCAGACATTAATTGACATGTCTGACTCACCAACAGCTCACAAGGGATCAATCCTTGATAAAGGCAAAGAGAAACAGTACACTGGGATAGTATTCAAACACAGAAATAAGCGTGCAAACACGCCAAAACTACAACTAAACAAAAACCCATACAATTCCCAAAAGAAACCAAATTTCTTGGACTAATCTTTGATGAACACCTCACCTAGGGTGCTCACGTTAAAAACCTAACAAATAGATGCACTAAAGACCTAAACACACTACGCTGCCTGACAGGTTCCAACTGGGGGGCCTCCAAGGTGACCCTACTATCACTTTACAAATCACAAATTAGATCAAAAATAGACTTTGGATGCCAAATATACAACACCTTAAACTCCTCATTAAGCGATAAACTAAACTCAATTCAATATCAAGCACTCAGGATAATTACACGCACTCAGCATGGCACCCCGCGCATATCGCTACAGGCACAAACAGGCGAAATACCCCTGGATCTACGCCGAGAACATCTAACAATAAATTACCGGGCCTCAACCCAAAAAAACAACAAATCCAACAGATCCTCAAAAGTAACAAAAGCCCAAGACTCCAAGCTCTAGCTCGCAAAAACCATTAATTAATACCAATCTCTCAACGCATAATAAATTACCTAAATACACACAACCAAAATAAGTTACAATTAAACACAGCACCAAATAACACAACAACTACAACTAAATAAAGAAACTGATCCAAATACCGCTAAATCCACCACACTAGCAGACATTCACGAAAAATGGACAAATTAGTGTCACATTTACACAGACGGGTCCTTTGACCCGGGCTCAAAACGCACATGATTCGGCTTCCATATCAACAAACCCCCAAAAGAAACACAATCCTATTGGCTCCCAAATAATCAATCAATTTTCACAGCCGAATTAATGGGGATAGTAACACCCCTGCACAGCGATCAAATAAATAGACACCAAAAAACCCTAATCCTTTCAGACTCATTAAATGGGTTCCAGGCCTTAAAAAACAAAAACACAAAAAAGCGCCCAAAACTAATACAACAGATAATTAAAAGCGCCAACAATCGACGTAAACATGGTAAAGACACAGAAATAGTTTGGATCCCTGCCCACGTTGGAGTGTTTGGCAACGAACACGCAGGCAAAGCAGCCAAATCAGCACTAAAATTAGAAGAAGTAAGCATCAACCTACCAATATCAAAAAACGAAACAAAGGAGAAAATCTTCCAAAAGTGGCAAAATGACTATCAGAAATCTGATTGCAAACTAAAACACCTGCTACAAAAGCCACTCTAAAAAACAAACAAATTGACAGAGTAATAACTAAACTACAAACAGGCCACACTAAGTTAAACTCCCACCTACACCAAATTAAAAAATCGCCAAACCGGTTAATGCCCCCACTGCAACTTAAAAGAAACGCCTGAACACGTAATACTAGATTGCAAACAGTATCAACAACACAGAACAACACTCCAATCCACACTAAATTGCAACAATCAAATGACACCAACAACGGAACTGAACCCCGTAAATGACTTACAAACCTTTAAAGCACTAGGCATATATCTAATCAAAACAGGCCTACTCGGCCGCATCTAACAAAGTACAACAAACAAGCTGCCAATAAACCCAAATATTCTAAACCTATAAAAAACACTATTTAGTCCCTCCCCCTCCTCCTTTTGCATGGCATACTTCAAAATTAACATGTCCTGTGCCCTTAGGCGAGCGGAAGGGCTCCTCCCCTCTGGATTCGAGGGGAGCTAGTTCCAAGGCTGAGACTGGGGGTAGGGGGAAGGGTCTCCTCTATCTCCATGGTGGTGATTGAAGGAGCCTTCTTCCTCCTGGGTGGCCTGGGTTTCTACACCGGGCGTGGTGCGGAGGGGGTAGGGGCCGGGGCGGGTTTGACCTCAGGCTTAGACCTCTCCCGCACTCATACGAATAACGATCGATACTGACTCATCACCCCCCACCGCGACTACTATAGACTTACGCTAGGCTTTTATCACCTTTTTCTTTCTTTAATAGGTCCTATATCTAAAATTGCAGCTTAACTGCAAACATTTTTGGGCCACATTATGCTATACTGATTTCTTATTTACAGATTCACCACTACCTAGGATATTTTAAGCTGCGCTCTTCCTTGTTTTAGACCCATCTAAGTAAATAGGAAATTCTTACTCTTATTTAAAAAAATTCAAAAATATTTGTAAATTTTAAATACACTAGATGCATACATTATAGCATAAATATCATAGTACTAGCTTCACGACCCTCCGTGTACAGTTTTTGGGGTATGGTGATTTATTATATATTCACATATTATTTATATTTATTTTCCCCAACCTACCCCGTCCGCAAAATACATTAACTGTGAAGCGGACGTTAAACCCCTTAAATAAGCAATAAGCAAGTATACTGCAGGTTAACTAGACTAATTAACTGCCCACTGAAACCGTCATTATGTTGAGGGCCTGATTGTTATTGTTGTAATATATAATTGCTTTCGGGTCAGTTTTAATATTTTTGATTGCATGCTGCTCACTTTCCTTGGTACTTGAGTCTTCTTTGCGCAATAACCAGAGTATCACACTGATTGAATATTTGTTTTAAATTTAAGCAAGCTTTGTTCCTTGTGGAACTGTAGATAAGGAAACACAAAACAACAATTTGCATTTACATAAGTAACAGAATATCCATTAAATCTTAATACGTCAATTTCTTGTTCTAAAAAGTACAGGTATTAGTATTCATCTTCCCCTTGTTAATAATTTGTATTTGTAACATTTTTTATTTTCTTGCGTCTGTTGTACAATCCATTTATAGTCGTAGTTTGTTGACTTTGCAAACGATATTAGGCTGAGCTCAACTTGCTTTCAATATAGTTAATGATAAGCGAAATTCCCCCATGATGACTATTCACATACAAAATATCAGGGATGTGAGTTGGTTTTCCCCAAAAAGAAGAAAACTGTAGGGGTATGCTCCCCCGAAATTATTTAAACATTTGATTGCATTCTAAGCAATTTCGTCCAGTTTGGACAACGTTCACACCTAGAAATGTAATAAGTCAGTGGCAAAAGTCAATAAGTCAAATAAACAAAGATGGCGGATGCAGTACAATTTCGAAGTTAAATCAGTAAAACATCGGGCATAGCTTCCGCGCTCACGGCTACTCGCCGAGTCTGGGAGCAATACTGCCATAAACTTCACCCCCACCCCAGGGGCGGTCGGGTAGCCTAGTGGTTAAAGCGTTCGCTCGTCACGTCGAAGACCCGGGTTCGATTCCCGATATGGGTACAATGTGTGAAGCCCATTTCTGGTGTCCCCCGCCGTGATATTGCTGGAATATTGCTAAAAGCGGCGTAAAACCATACTCACTCACTCACTCACTCATCCCCACCCGAGGCCCCCCCACCCCCCCCCCCCCACCCCCCAAAACATAAGCGTGCAATGTCTGACCCTTTTCCCATGTTGAAGCATATTGAGAAATACTTACCCTGTACCTTGTACCGCTAACAGTGTGGCGTACTAATTAAACATTCCAGTAATGTTACACGCCACAACATCAGTTTTATTTGTAACTTGCTAATAATATTGATCGCCATTTCGCACATACATAATAATTATATACGAATACATCGCAATTATCTCCCTTTACCAATATATACAAAGAAAAACAATTTTGGATAATACATAATACAATTTTATACCAGAATGCAACCATTCGCTTCTTGATACTAATTGATAAAGGGATTCTGTATGATGAAGTACTGTTTCTTAAGTGGAGTGTATACTTTATACCTTCTACGCAAGTGATGTCACTGAAACCCCACTCTTCACAACCATACATTGCTATAGGTGCTATCATATGGTCAAAGCTATTCATAAACATTCTATTGGAGTACATGCATTTCTGGCTTTGGATAATAATGCAAACGAGGCTTTTAAAGATTGTTCTCTTAGCCTCTCAATGTTTTTTTGTAAAAAGTAATCCCCGAATATAGGCAGCAATCTGTAATTTCGATTATTTTATTTTCAAATTTAAAGTCGAATTTACGTTTTTTAGGAAGTGCCAGAACCAAAGATTACTATCTTTGTTTTATTCAGATTCACCTTCAGTTTCCATTCTTCACGACCATATTAATGATTTAATATGACATTCAGACTATTTTGTAAGTCAAAAGGGTTTTCCACAATATTACAGTATCGTCTGCGTCAGTAATAACATTAGTTGCAAAAGACGTTTCAAGGGACACACATTTACAGTTGTGACAATCAAAAAGGTTTCAAGATCATTTAAATATACTGCAAACGGTAATGGTGACAAATTTTCACCTTGCCGAACTCCCTTGCTACAAATAAATATCCTGATATATCTTCAACATGAACAACACAAGATTTTATATTTGAATACATATTGTGAATAAGATTAAATATTCTTCCAGAGATACCATATGATATGAGCTTTTGCCATAATCATTTTCGACAAACGTTGTCAAAAGCCTCTTGAAAATCCACAAATGCACAGTACAATTTCTTTTTCCTCGCCCTTAAAATATCTATTAAACCATAGAGTACAAAAATGTGGTCAACATTACTGTAACCTTTCCTGAAGCCAGCTTGTATTGCTGAAATAATATAATTGTCATTTGTGACAAGCTGTACTTTTTCTTATTTGACATATGTTTGAAATCGATGAAAACCTGATGTATAGGCTCTGGTTGACAGACATGTTTTCGTGCACAATTGTAAATTGAAGAGTGAGTGACTGAGAATGGCTGAAGACAGTATTTAAAAGCGCGTCAGCTTGGCGTGGGAGGAAAGCTCGAAGTGATGAAGGACTTCCTTTTTGGTGTCACCCCTCTAGCACGGGTATGGTGGTAACAAGGTGCATGATCGAGGTGAATCTGGGGCTCGATCACAGGATACTGGCACGCCTAAGGGACGCAACTTTGCTGACTAAAGAGGACTGATTGTTAGGCAACATGAAGTGGTTGATGGCATGTCATCGGACACCAGTGGCGTGGATCGATGTTCACTATGTAAATCAGTGGACAGTCTGAACGTCTTCATGCAGCTGAAACACTTCGAAGTTCAACAAAATTATAGATTGACCACCAATTGAACAAATGAACGTGTCTGAATGACGTGGGATTAATCAGCCGTTCAGCAGCTGTTCTCTGTAGTTATAAAACATGCCGTGAAAGTGATGCTAGGAAAAATCATTCGGAACATTTCAGAAATGAACAAAATACGGTAAGGGATTGTCTGCCATTTTATGATTTGCTTATTCTATTTCAATGATTTCGAGGATATATTTTTTATTCAACTGATTGACAGTTCGGTAAAGTCTCCTCTTACATACTTCCCCGGGATTAGAAAAATCCCAATCAAGCCCATTGCTGGTCGTGAGAGGCGTCAAAAATGGACCCTGCTGGTGTCAGACAATAACATGGCTGATGGCGTGTCATCTTGCTGCCTGCTGTCAGGCAATAACATGGCTGATGGCGTGTTATCTTGCCGCTTGCTGTCAGGCAATAACATGGCTGATGGCGGTCATCTTGCCGCCTGCTGTCAGGCAATAACTTGGCTGATGGCGTGTCATCTTGCTGCCTGCTGTCAGGCAATAACATGGCTGATGGCGTGTTATCTTGCCGCTTGCTGTCAGGCAATAACATAGCTGATGGCGGTCATCTTGCCGCCTGCTGTCAGGCAATAACTTGGCTGATGGCGTGTCATCTTGCTGCCTGCTGTCAGGCAATAACATGGCTGATGGCGTGTCATCTTGCTGCCTGCTGTCAGGCAATAACTTGGCTGATGGCGTGTCATCATGCCCCCTGCTGTCAGGCAATAACATGGCTGATGGCGTGTCATCTTGCCGCCTGCTGTCAGGCAATAACATGGCTGATGGCGTGTCATCTTGCTGCCTGCTGTCAGGCAATAACATTGCTGATGGCGTGTCATCTTGCTGCCTGCTGTCAGGCAATAACTTGGCTGATGGCGTGTCATCATGCCGCCTGCTGTCAGGCAATAATATGGCTGGTGGCGTGTCATCTTGCCGCCTGCTGTCTGCAATAACTTGGCTGATGGCGTGTCATCATGCCCCCTGCTGTCAGGCAATAACATGACTGATGGCGTGTCATCTTGCCGCCTGCTGTCAGGCAATAACATGGCTGATGGCGTGTCATCTTGTCCCCTGCTGTAAGGCAATAACATGACTGATGGCGTGTCATCTTGTCCCTGCTGTCAGACAATAACATGGCTGATGACGCGTCATCTTGTCCCCTGCTGTCAGGCAATAACATGACTGATGGCGTGTCATCTTGCCCCTGCTGTAAGGCAATAACTTTGCTGATGACGTGTCATCTTGCCCCTGCTGTCAGACAATAACATGGCTGATGGCGTGTCATCTTGTCCCCTGCTGTCAGGCAATAACATGACTGATGGCGTGTCATCTTGCCCCTGCTGTAAGGCAATAACTTAGCTGATGACGTGTCATCTTGCCCCTGCTGTCAGACAATAACATGGCTGATGGCGTGTCATTTTGTCCCCTGCTGTCAGGCAATAACATGGCTGATGGCGTGTAATCTTGTCCCCTGCTGTCAGACAATAACATGGCTGATGGCGTGTCATCTTGCCCCTGCTGTCAGGCAATAACATGGCTGATTGCGTGTCATCTTGTCCCCTGCTGTCAGACAATAACATGGCTGATGGCATGTCATCTTGCCCCTGCTGTCAGACAATAACATGGCTGATTGCGTGTCATCTTGTCCCCTGCTGTCAGACAATAACTTTGCTGATGACGTGTCATCTTGTCCCCTGCTTTCAGACAATAACTTGGCTGATGGCGTGTCATCTTGTCCCCTGCTGTAAGGCAAAAACATGGCTGATGTCGTGTTATCTTGCCCCCTGCTGTCAGGCAATAACATGGCTGATGGCGTGTTATCTTGCCCCCTGCTGTCAGACAATAACATGGCTGATGGCGTGTCATCTTGTCCCCTGCTGTCAGGCAATAACATGGCTGATGGCGTGTCATCTTGTCCCCTGCTGTAAGGCAAAAACATGGCTGATGGCGTGTCATCTTGTCCCTGCTGTCAGACAATAACATGGCTGATGGCGTGTCATCTTGTCCCCTGCTGTCAGGCAATAACATGACTGATGGCGTTTCATCTTGTCCCCTGCTGTCAGGCAAAAACATGGCTGATTGCGTGTCATCTTGCCCCCTGCTGTCAGACAATAACATGGCTGATGGCGTGTTATCTTGCCCCCTGCTGTCAGGCAATAACATGGCTGATGGCATGTCATCTTGCCCCTGCTGTCAGACAATAACATGGCTGATGGCGTGTCATCTTGTCCCCTGCTGTAAGGCAAAAACATGGCTGATGGCGTGTCATCTTGTCCCTGCTGTCAGACAATAACATGGCTGATGGCGTGTCATCTTGTCCCCTGCTGTCAGGCAATAACATGACTGATGGCGTGTCATCTTGCCCCTGCTGTAAGGCAATAACTTAGCTGATGACGTGTCATCTTGCCCCCGCTGTCAGACAATAACATGGCTGATGGCGTGTCATCTTGTCCCCTGCTGTAAGGCAAAAACATGGCTGATTGCGTGTTATCTTGCAGCCTGCATTCAGGCAATAACATGGCTGATGGCGTGTCATCGCGCCCTCATCGCATGGGACGCTGAACATATTTCCGTTACATGGTTTGCGTCGTCAAGGCTCTAACAACAGTGGACTGTTTTTTAAGATCATTCCCTCTCTCACAAATGTGATTGTTTGTCTTGTCCCCATTCGAATTATTTACAGTGCTAAACAACAACGTCTTCAAATAGTACGCGGACGTTGTAGCTTCGAATAAGACCACATGCCGACCAGCAACCTTGTTGTACTCGTCGTACGTGGCAAGTTTATAGGTCAGGCGCGGTAACTTCGTTCCATTGGCGTAGGACGTTGCTCATATTATCAATCACTATTTTCCCTGATCCAGGATCGATTACATGCAGCTGTCTGTTATTTTCTTGTTCAATGCCACATGAATATGGCAAAGCGGCACTCAGCACGAGACAAACCACCGATTGTTATCATGGGAGAGATGGCACGGTATTAACCAAGACACCGAGTCTGACTACCCGATCCATAAAAAAATGTCGCCTCTGTCGATCACCATAGCTCGCTGGGGATCTATTCTAATATGCTAACGCGGAATCCCCGCAACGTGTGTTGATGTGAATAGTGGTTGTGTTTAATTATTTGATGGGATGTCAAAAGAGGTTTTCTTTCTGTTTCGTCATTGTTTGTTTGTTTGTTTGTTTGTTTTTAACGTCACACTCAGAAATACCATTGCGAAATGACCGCGGTCTATAAATAACAAGTCTGGACCTGGCAATCCAAAAAAATGACATCATGAACATCCATCTACACTTTTGGGATACATTGAAATGCACCAACCAAGTCACCCATCCCGTTGCTGGCCTCCTAGATCCGAAATTCAAAGATGTATATTTGCTCGCCGTAACAATAAAATTTTATTTTATTGGTCATTTCAGATTGAATCGGCTTTTGAACAAATCCAGACTTTTCAATCTTATGTTTATGATGGCCGCTGTCTACATCGTTTTAGGATTAACCAAAATTGGGGTTTTCCTTGTTTCAACACGAAAGCTCTTTGATTCAATTGACTATACGCTTAAGAAAGAAAGAGACTCGTTCCACTTGAACAGACTGTTGCACCTCAAGAAAGACTCGCTTCCTTTGTCTGACCCAGCATCCTTTAGTTCTTTCTACATCGACACGCCTGCTTCAAAAGCAAAAAACACATTTAACGACAAAACTCGAAGCATTGGTGAATACGTTCCTAGCAAAACCTTTCAACATGTTTACCGACGTATGCCGGACATAGATATTCAGAGTGGTGAAAACAAAAGTCTCGAAGTGCTCCTGAGAAGAGGGGACATTGAACCAGCGACTGACCTTGTGACTAGAGACACGAAGGTCATACTGTGGTATTCCCCAACAAGGTATCATCCAAGATTGTCGAGATTACACCCCTTGCGGGGATGCCCAGAATCCAGATGTCGGGTTACAACAAACAGAGACTTCTACAGCCAGAGTGATGCTCTTGTGTTTACTGCACAGCTCCTAGATCAGATGCCACCAGTGAAGCTTACGAATCAAGTGTGGATATTACATAATCATGAGTCTCCACGGTGGGTGAATAAAAATACGTATTTGTACAACGAAGCCTGGAGCTCCAAATTTAACTGGACGATGGACTATAGGAATGACGCCGATTTCAAAGTCCCGTACGGAATCCTCCAAAGTAAGAATGGAACATTTCTTAGAGAAGAACATCCACCAATAAGAAACTATTCACAAATCTGGTCTTCGAAGAAAGGAACAATCGCATGGATGGTAAGCAACTGCCGAACTATGAGTAAAAGAATGGAATATGTTCGGGAATTGAGTCGCTATGTCCAAGTTGATATATTCGGCAAGTGTGGCGACCACAGATGTCCAAGATCTGATGACGAATCGTGTCTGGAACATCTTTCGAAAAATTACAAATTCTACTTAGCCTTTGAAAATGCGTTTTGTAAAGACTACATAACTGAAAAGTTTTTCCGTAACTTCAACTCTGATATGGTCGTAGTGGCCAGGGGTGGGGGCGACTACAGCGCCGTTGCTCCCCCAGGAACCTTCATCAATGCAGCTGACTTCGTATCACCTCAGCGTCTTGCCCAGTTGTTGAACGAGCTGGCTCACAATGAAAGAGACTATGTCAATATTCTACGCAAGAAGAACCAGTATCATGCCGTTTGGGAGGAGTGGCCCATAGTTAAAAATGGGATCATAGAATATATGACCTATCATTACGATATGGTGCCCATGTGTGACATTTGTAACCGGTTGTGGGATGTTGAAAGTAACGGAACACTCTACATGGACATTGGTGATTGGTTTGATAAAGGGATGTGTTTTGAACCTTCCGATCTAACTTCAGATAGGTTGTGAATACTTAGGAGAAAAAGTTTTAGAAAAACAGTTTTCAGTGTTGGGCTGTCACGTGAAGATTTGAGGGCGCTTAATTAAATTTGGAACCGAACGTTGAGCATGAGAGGTTTCAAATGTTAAATTTACCGCCGTTATTTTTACACAGAAGCAAACTCTGAGTTAAACAACTAAGCATCTTTATCTTTATTTTATTAAACAATTAAACAATTAAACACAAACGTTTTGTTGTTAGCGAAGAAAACTGTCGGGCAACAGAAAGCATACGTTTGATTGGACCAAAACAATACAAACGTTATCCAAACATGGGGCGGTCGGGTAGCCTAACACGCCGAACACCCGGGTTCGATTCCCGTCATGGGTATAAAGTGTGAAGCCCATTTCTGGTGTCCCCCGCCTTGATATTGCTGGAATATTGCTAAAAGCGGCGTAAAACCATATTCACCCACTCACTCATTATCCAAACATAATCAATTGTATGAAAATAGTCTCCGAAACTCTGCAAACGTCAGGTCCAAAACACAACTATGATACCGGTATCAAATACATCACCACCGAATAACCATTTTTCTATTTTTTTAGCCAACATGAATGATGGGTGAATACTTTCTTTTGCCCTACAGTGTACTTAGTGAAGTAGCGTCCAGTGTTTTGAGTAGTCTGAATAAAAGCAACATCGATTAACTGCGGGGGCACGGGTGGCCCAGTCGCCTAAGGCGCCGCGATTCGCTGTGCAGAGTTGCGTCCCTTGGGCACGCCAGGAACCTATGATTGTGGGTTCGAATCCCGATTTGCCCAGATTATGTTTCTAGGTTTGTCAGCACCATACCCGTGCTCGTGGGTTTCACCGAAGTGGTAAACGTCTGATACCTGCATCACTTCGGGCTTACCCCCCACATTAAGCTGACACGCCGCGATATAACTGGAATACTGTTAAAAGCGGCGTTAAACACAACTCACTCACTCTGCAAAAACCAAAAATCAGTACAATCAACTTTTGACTTGACTCTTAAACCTGAAGACATGTCCATTCCTCTTTTGTACTTGATCCCAAAGCTCCATAAAATCCGTACAAAGAGAGATATATTGCTGGGTCCAGCAAATGAACCATCAAATCCCTGTCTCAAAGACAAACTATAGTCTTAAATACAATCAAGGAAGGACTTTCTTTATATTCACAGAAAGTATTTAAGAGCATGTTTATTTCTGAAAAAACTCAGAGGATTTGCTTGACTTTTTGCAACCTCAGAAACGTTCCATTCTGTCAAAACATTTGATTTTTCAACTTTGTACACCATTATCCTAACATGACAAACTTAAGAAAAAACTTCATTCCTTGATTCATGGGGCTTTTGTTACAAGTGAATGAGTGAGTATGGTTTTACGGTTTTAGCAATATTCCAGCAATATCACGGCGGGGGACACCAGAAATGGGCTTCACACATTGTACCCATGTCGGGATTCGAACCCGGGTCTTTGGCGTGACGAGCGAACGCTTTAACCACTAGGCTACCCGACCGCCACCTTTTGTTACAAAACGTGGTGAACACGGATACAGTTACCCATCTATATTCAGAGGTTCAGGACAATTTGTGAAAAATGAAAGCAAATGCCATCTTAGTTTACTGAGAAAACAATATTTGAAATGCTGGTCTTCCCATGGGCACCGACTGTGCTCCCCTTTCTAGCGGATCTGTTTCGTTATGCCTATGAATCGGAATTTCTGTTCGGATTGGCAAAGTCAAAACAAGGTAATTTGGCCAAAAAGTATTACTTTAGCTTCAGGTATATCGATGTTCTGATATCGTTCAATAACAATCAAATAGCCGATTCCCTTCCACTGATTTACCCAGCTGAACTAGAAATACAGGAGACCTGTGATACCGCCTCATCTGTTTCATATTTAGATGTATGAATAAAGATCCAGAGTGACAAAACATTATCCCCAAGACTGTATGACAAGAGGGAAGACTTCAACTTTCCAATAGTCAACTTTCCCTTCGTGTCGAGCATTATTCCAGCAGCTCCAGCCTTTGGTGTTTACATTTCACAACTTTTGAGATACAATCGACCATGCTCTCTCTACCATTATTTCAAAGAACGTCATACGGCTCTTGCTCAGAAGGTGTTTGATCAAGGTTACAACATTCAAGGCCTCAGTAAAGCCTTCAAAAGTTTTTCTGGCAGACATGTTGAGGACAAAAATGATGTCCGATTCAATTCCATATTTTGACTTTTACCATATGTTCTCGTGGGTTTTTTTAGGTGAACAGTTGACTTGCCTCTGCATGTGGTTTTGATGGGTGCCACCGATGGGGCAGGATACGCGCACCTGTTCGCGAACAGCTGGTATCATTACTATTTGATAGTGATTCATAAACACATGCTCATGATATAGTCGGAATCGTACAATCGACTCTGCTTTATGAAGAGATTTGTATTGTATATGGAAAGGGTATTGCCGCTTTATTTATTAAAACCACCTGATAGGTACAGTGAATGTGATCTTCCGTCGACAGCATGGATTCTTGTTGTTCACAGTATCAATCACCGGTTTGTCTGGTCCAGATAGTGTTATGTCAAGACAGTCCATACCTTGAATATTGCTGGTGTTTAATTAAAACCAACAAAACGATTTCCAAAATCATAGGAAATCCCTGTTAAATGCGCTGAACAATAACGACTATGTCATAAGCATTGTCTATGACTCACTATCAAGGTGAGGTGAAAGTGGGTTTAACGTCGCGTCCAAGATTATTGCACTTATATAGCGACGTGCATGCACGTGTATGTGTGTGTGTGTGTGTGGCTGCTTGTACTAGTCCGGACTGATGCCGATTTATGATGCTAGCTCACTGAGATACCATGCCGCAGTTTAACATGAATACCCCACTCAGACACAGTATACTGACTCCGAGCCGACCAGTCCTTGTTTTAGCCCCTTAATGCCGAGCGCCAGACAGGGTAACAACAAGTACAATCTTTTAACGTCTTTTTGTATGACGCGGCCCGGGATCGAACCCTGGACCTTCCGCTCTCCGGGCGGACGCTCTACCACAAGACCACGGAGGCGGTCGACTCACTATCAAACATTGATGACACCCGATGTTCGTAGAAGGTGAGAGTGTCCTGCACCACCTGGAGCACCTATCACAAACCATGCAAAGTAAATTCACCTACCTACCTAAACCACGGGAACATTTGGCTCTTGTCAAAATAGGGAATTGTACCAGACATAATTTTTGTCGCTGATCCCCTATATTTTTATATGCTCTCCACATGTCTACCATAAAACGTTTTGAAAGGTTTACTAAGGACTTGAATGTTTTAACCCTAAACAAATAAATTTTGAGCAAGATCCGTATACGTTATGTGACAGTAGACAGTGTTTGACGTTTGTTCGTAGTTATTGTCAATGGAAGCAAATGATTGAAGCGCTCGTAAAATGTGGCGTGCTGGCGTAGCCAGATTTTAGCGGCAGACGTTGGCAGCGAGTAATTAGAGTTATCCGCCTTTGTGTTAACTTGAAGATTACATGTTTGGTCGTTTGAGAAGTTTCAGAAGGCTGGCTGCACCGATATAGGAGCGACACGACCCGAAGTGATTACAATTTCAACGGCGTGTTAGCTTGTGGGAGGAAAACTGGAAATGATGTAGGTTCTACACGTGACAAAACAAGAAACATCACCAGGATAAATATAGGATTCAAACCCATGAGTGAATAAGTCGGTTAAAATTAAAAGTCGCTTCGGCAATTGTTCAGCCAAAGTGTGACTATCACAGGTTTCTGACACTTCTAAGGGACGCCACTCTGCACAGCTAATTAGGCGCCAAAAATACTGGGCCTCCCGTGGCCCTAAGCTAACACTATGGCACTGGTTGTGGTCACATGTATTGCATATTGCATATACATTGACACAACACAACACATGCTGGGATTATCCCAGTTTGGGTTTGACAGTCTCCGTGGGAATTCCTGGTGAGAATTGGTTTTAAGAGTGAGTGAGTGAGTTTGGTATAACGCCGCTTTTAACAGTATTCAAGTTATATCACGGCGTGTCAGCTTAATGTGGGAGGAAAGCCCGCGGTGAGGCAGGTCTCAGACGTTTACCACTTCGGTGAAACCCACGAGCACGGGTATGGTGCTGACAAACCTAGAAACATAATCGGGGCGAACCGGGATTCGAACCCACAATCATAGGTTTCAGGCGTGCCCAAGGGACGCAACTCTGCACAGCGAATCGCGGCGCCTCAGACGACTGGGCCACCCGTGCCCCCGGTTTTAAGAGACGACCTGGCGGACCGGGTGGTCGGGCTTGATGACTTGTGTTTTTTTAAAAACATGTTAGTTACACAGCCGCCATGTACAATGTAGCTTGAATATTGCCGGGTGAGGCGTTGAACCACAAACAAATAAAATCATGCAGACAAACTTTATTCTAATGGGTTTGTGCAGAAGTTGGCTGTTGTTTCAGCGGACACAAGTCTCATCACTCTTCCACGAGCTGGCGGACGTCCTGAATAGCAGAAACTGATTCCTCCGCGTCGTGAACTGTTTCCGCCATCTCCAGTTCTGCATCATGGAGGAACGCCAGGAGGCTCGACTTGTTTATTGAGCCTGAGAATATATTTACAAGTCATTCAATTTTTTGTAAATACAATCTCACTCAAACCAGAGCACCCGAATTTAATTCACCCCATCCTTGAACAAACATGAATATTCTGAAGCACGTTAGTTAAGTCCCAAGAACATGTATCTTCATACGCATGTAGCTAATATATAAATCAAAATAATCATAATTAAATTATATACTTCAACGTCTCGATTATACGCAGAAACAGATTCCATTAGGAGTAAAAGGTAAACAAGCGGTAAACAGCATCATATGACTGCACCCTCAAGGGTAAGTGTGAGGTCGTCACACTGAGCATGGGTAAAATGTGTGAATTCCTGGGATATCCTCCGTCATGAAATGGCCGGAATGATAGGTGAGTGAGTGAGTTTGGTTTAACGCCCCTTTTAACACTATTGCAGTTATATCACGGCGTGTCAGCTTATTGTGGGAGGAAAGCCCCAAGTGATGCAGGTCTCAGACGTTTACCGCTTCGGTGAAACCCACGAGCACGGGTATGGTGCTGACAAACCTAGAAACATAATCGGGGCGAACCGGGATTCGAACCCACAATCATAGGTTTCTGGCGTGTTCAAGGGACGCAACTCTGCACAGCGAATCGCGGCGCCTTAGACGACTGGGCCCCCGTGCCCCCCCCCCCCCCCCCCAGAATGATAGGGAAACCAACCCTCTCAACCGCTTTACGTACATAAGTATATGTACAATAAACACGACAGAGAACTGTACATAACTTTCTGAAGTCTTTTCATTCCTTAAATTATGCAGCTCGGTCCAAATTCGTCCCTGAAAGACATCGTCAGTCACAAACAGGGGCTTAAAGGGCAAGTTCACACGGAAATCAACCAATTTTTCTTGTACTTTTTCCACATTAAAAGTGTTAACATAGAAGTGTCAAAGACAAAAATATAAAAACATCATATTTAATTAACATATTTTTTGCATTAAAACGATTTATATTTTTCACATTTACCAAGTGTTCTATTTCCATAACAAAAACACCATGGCTTATGCCCCTTGCAATATGACGTCATTGGTGCCAATTGATAAACATTATGACGTCATCATGCTTTGTTAGAGCCGCTTCACGTGGTGTAGGTACAGTTTTGTGATTCTAGCGTCTCAGATGCCAGCCAGAATTGTGTTATGCTGAGTCACCACTGCGCCGGAGTGTGTCGTAGACCATGTTGTTTTACCGCAAACTGGTCCTTGATATCTTTTGCGTTGAGAATAGACAGGGACCCAGTTGAATTGGCACCAATTACGTCATAATCTAAGGGGGATAACTCAGGCCTATTTCGCTCGTAAAACGAAGGCCTCATAACGACATATCATTTTAACACTATTGTGAGCTTCCTACTTTCACTGTGAAAAAAAATGAGCGTATATTTTCAAACACAGATACTAACTAATTCTAAAATTGCGTTTTGTTTAGAAAAAGAAAGAAAGTGATTTTTGCGTGTACACTTCCCCTTTAAAGGCATACTATCTCGATCGCTCCGATGTTTCAATTACTTCTTGATGACACAGACTTCACATTAAAGTTTATCCAGTGTATTCATCGTAATGCGCTGGATAATGGAGGTGGCAGAATCAACACCCCAACCGCTAAGAGTGAGTGAGTGAGTGAGTGAATATGGTTTTACGCCACTTTCAGAAATATTCCAGAAAGATCACGACGGGGGACACCAGAAGTGGGCTTCACACATTGTACCCATGTGGGGAATCGAACCAGGGTCTTCGGCGTGTCCAACCAGTAAGAAGTGAATAGAGTCAGTGTTCAGTACAAATTTACAATACAGTAAACTACGGTTATAACGAACACGCTTATAACGAACTGACGGATATAACGAACTAACTTTTTAGTCCCGACTATTTGCTGTAGTTATGCTTTATATATGCTTATAACGAATTACGGTTAAAACGAACTTACTTGGGACAGTGAGCGACGATCCTGAGGAGCTCGAAGTGCCTGAAAGAACCAGGGAAGAAAATGGATGGGATCTGAGTCTTGGCGACAAGAACATACCACAATCCTACTTACTCTCAAAATTAGAAATAGGGGGCTCTTATTAGAATGTTAAAAATACAGAGTTGAAAGATAAATTTCGTGGTTTATGCTGACAGCCTGAAATGTTTATGTACGACAGATATATTTTTCCAGAATTAAATGTCCATAATTAAGGGTGCAGATAACACACGAGTGCGTATTAAATAAGTCTTGTGTACATTGATCAATCGGAAGGGGTGCTAATTGGGATTGTTCACTAGCCAATACATGTATCTTAGCAAATGTCGCCGTTGGCGCTTATTAGAGCGGGGCGCTTATGTCGAATACGGTATTGGTACAATATGTCATTAGCAGTCAACACCAGAGAATAACCAGTCTCGTTTATCCGCCGAAACAGATTCGATTGGGCGTAAAAACAAAATAGCGGTGAACATTATATGAATGGATCACTACACATAAGTGAAGACATCAGGTATTGTGGCCTTCTTTGTGGTATGTTCTAAAGAGGATTGTTATTCTAGGTTTGAGAAACTCGATCTATGCTTGCAGTAAGATACGACCGTGTGGGTGATCAGGTCAGGCTTGACATGCGTCTCATTGTACCAGGGGTCGATTGTTGCTCATTATATCAATCACTGATTTGTCGGGACAAGACATACTTATTGTACAGACTACCGTTATATAACTGAGTTTGGCGAACAAACGAGCCCAAGTCCGGCCTACCGTGTCATCAGGGAAAGACTTTCGGCTCAAAAAAATTATCAGCACGTGACACTCATCTGTATTTACGAGTGGGGCTGTTCAGCTGCTTTGTTATGTGGTCTGTTTGATGTGCGGCGTACATTATTATGGCAACAAACATTTAATTAAGATAGCTTTCCCGTGAAGATCCGGGGTAGAATAGGTCTTCAGCAACCCATGCATGCGTAAAAGGCGACTATGCTTGTTGTAAGACTAACGGGATCGGGTGGTCAGGCTCGCTGACTTGGTTCATGCATGTCATCGCATCGATGCTCATAATATATCACTGGATTGTCTGGTCCAGACTCGATTATTTACATACCGCCGTTATATAGCTGGAATATTGCTGAGTGCGGCGTTGAACAAGGAACAAGGAACAAGCAAGCTAAGATCGTCAAAATGTTAATACAACATTCTAGCTTGATAACTGAATTTTAAGGTTACTTTTCCTAATGTGTTATCATGCAACACATAGACTGATTCTCAGGGTGGGGTTAGGTGAAATGGGGTTTAACTTCGCGTCTATTGCACTTATAGATGCATGCACGCATATGTGTGTATTTGTGGCTGCTTGTACTAGACCGGACTGATGCCGATTTATAGTGCAAGCTCACTGAGATACCATGCTGCAGTTTAACATGAATACCCCACTCAGACACAGTAAATTGACTCCGGGCCGACCAGCCCTTATTTTAGCCCCTTAATGCCGAGCACCAGACAGGGTAACAACAAGTACCATCTTTTAACGTATTTTGGTATGACGCGACCGGGGATCGAAGCCCGGATCTTCCGCTCTCCGGGCGGTCTCTCTACCATTAGACCACGGAGGCGGTCGAATTATCAGGGATTTAATGCTCATAAGAATTCCCATTAAAGTTAACTCACTGCTGACTCCACACGCCTGATAACGTCTGTATTCTGCGTCTTCCATAATCCCAACTTCTCCCAGCCATGGACAGGAACCGATATATTTCGTCAGACATTTCTTGTAGGTCTGCGTATTGCTGGAGAGAGAAACATTGCTTTTAACATTGAGGGAGTGAGTGTGTGAGTTGGGTTTAACGCCGCTTTTAACAGTATTACAGTTATATCACTGCGTGTCAGTGATGCAGGTCTCCACTTCAGTGAAACCCACGAGCACGGGTATGGTGCTGACAAACCTAGAAACATAATCTGGGTGAACCGGGTTCGAACCCACAATCATAAGATTTTGGCGTGCCCAAGGGACGCAACTCTGCACAGCGAATCGCGGCGCCTAAGACAACATGGCCACCCGTGCCCCGAATTCAACTTTGAAAGCATTGCACTGCTCGCACAACCTTGCATTTCGGGTCGAAACTGCCTCACAAAGGAGTGCGCGAGTTAAAATTTAACGTCACATCGGCAGAATTTCAGCCATATCGTGACGAGAAGTACATTAATAATACATATATTTAGACAATATAAAAAACTGTCAACGATGGACATTACAATAAGCCTCACAAAGGCCTTAAAATGTACATAAGGCCTTCATAAAGCCGGAATTATTTACATTTACTCACGTCCCCTAAAAAACTTTCAAAACAAATTGCGTGTTCAATTTGTAAGCAAAAAAACAAAAAATATAACGTGTCAACTTCGAAGAAACCACATTGGCTTTATGGTTCCTTAATAGCAAGTAGCCATAGATACCTTCCTCGTGTTGATCGGTTGTTTCCGTAAGCCGAATAGTTCCGATATAATGCGAACGGTAGAACGGACGGGCCCAAAGTAAAATATGCAAATGAGGGGCTGTGTGTACGAACATGGTCAAGACTACATTTGACACCCTTTAAAGCAAACCATGATTGGTAAATGGTGCTTAACTCTCAGTGACCGAACATATAAAGTTGAAGGATTTTAAATACGACTGTCGTGCATAGTGTGGCGTCTGTTGAAGTGATTTTTAGCGGTACGTTAAAATATGTTTGGGTTGTTATCTCCCTTGCCGTTCTTCAGTCTGGGTTTTGTGCTATGACACTTCAATGGCTAAGGCGGGCAATCAGCTGGTCAATTTGCCAAAATACCACTCACTCCCGGTAGATTCACTTAGGGTGATAAGCATGCCAAGCCTAAAAGTCGCTATTGTCACGCCTTGTAACCGCCTCCGTGGTCTAGTGGTAGAGCGTCCGCCCGGAGATTGGAAGGTCCGGGGTTCGACCCCCAGCCGCGTCATACCATAAGACGTTAAGGCGTCTGGCGCTCGGCAGTAAGGGGCTAAAACAAGGACTGGTCGGCTCGGAGTTAGTATACTGTGTCTGAGTGTGGTATTCATGTGGGCTAGCACTATAAATCGGCATCAGTCCGGACTAGTACAGGCAGCCACACACAAGTGCATGCACGTCGCTATATAAGTGCAATAATCTTGGACGCGACGATGACCCCATTTCACCTCACCTCAACTATCACGCCTTGTTATTTTACAGGGATTATTGCTACTCTCGGGTAATCGTACCTTTCTTTCCTTTAGTTTATGCCTCATTGACCAAGTAGATGCGGGTAGTATATATATGGGCCTTATATTACAACTGTTAAGGGCGAAAGGGGGTAACTGCACTTTTTCATACATTTGTTTGTGTCTTACATGAAATGTGCCCAAAATTGACCAACATGTTGTTTCCTTCTTCTTGTTCATTGTTCTCCCTTTGCAGAATTAGCACATCACATTACTTTATGACTTAAACCAAAAGACATTAGATTTGTGTAAAATGGGCGAGAGTGCAGTAGTCGCATCTGGCTGGAACAAGACACGAGGTGAATAATCGCATATGGTTTCCTATCTTCTCTTGCACCCTGTCCACCCCACCACAACCACCCCCGAAATGAATCAAGCGGCATGTCTGTCCCTCTCCATTTGTTGAGAACAGCCTGGCTTTTAGAGCGGATATGATTGTAAACTTCAATAGGCTTGTGAACTTCAATCACAAAGTTGAAAGTGAAAGGTTGGATGAACTATTAACTACCAATATGGCTGATGTCAAGAAGACCTTGGTATTGGCCAATGACCAGGCAAGTGTGGAAAGATTTTTCAATCAATAAGGAATTTGAAGTGGACAATATGACTGACATTTAGCGACAATGTCATAACTAATGGCGGTGTTCTAATTTAAAGGTTCCAGTCACAAAACCCTTGTTGGTTTATTGCTCTCTCGCCAGACAGAAATATGAACTGCATTCGGCAAAACAGAGAACATAGTGAATATCCGGGTTAGTATAGGTCTTCAGCAACCCATGATTGCCGTAAAAGGCGATTATGCTTGGCGTAAAAGGCGACTAATGGGATCAGGTGGTCAGGCTCGCTGACTTGGTTGACACATGTCATCGTATCCCAATGCGTCGATCGATGCTCATGATGTCAATCACTGGATTGTCTGGTCCAGAATCGATTATTTACAGACCGCCGTCATATAGCTTGAATATTGCTGAGTGCGGCGTTAAACAACAATCAAACCAACAAACAAACATGAGATGCTAGGATTCTTCCACCGAATCTCTACACGGTTATTAATAAACAGATTTCTGTTAATTACCTGCACGCATCACTTCCAGCGTTGCCATAGCTTCCAGAATACATATCCATGAACGACGTTGCACAGGGAACAGCACTGGTACAGGAACTTGTTGCTGGTGAAACAGGTAAAATGTACACTATTACAAGAGACGTAAAACCCAACTCACTCACTACTCAAAGAGGCGGCTACCGAACTCAGCATTTCATGATTGTGTAGAGAGGCGACTAACAGGATCGAGTGGTCAGGCTAACGCTGCACTCACCAACATTTCAGCTACGGACGGCGGTCAACCCAGTGATTGACATCATGCTCATCGGTCGACGCAATTGAAACGTGATGACAAGCATGAACCAACTCCACCCTGTCCATCGGATCCCGTTAGGTGAGGTGAGGTGAAATTGGGTTTAACTTCGCGTCCAAGATTATTGCACTTATATAGCGACGTGCATGCACGTGTGTGTGTTTGTGTGGCTGCTTGTACTAGTCCGGACTGATGCCGATTTATAGTGCTAGCCCACTGAGATACCATGCCGCAGTTTAACATGAATACCCCACTCAGACACAGTATACTGACTCCGAGCCGACCAGTCCTTGTTTAAGCCCCTTCATGCCGAACGCCAGACAGGGTAACAACAAGTTCCATCTTTTAACGTCTTTTGGTATGACGCGATCGGGGATCGAACCCCGGACCTTCCGCTCTCCGGGCGGACGCTCTACCACTAGACCACGGAGGCGGTCCGGATCCCGTTAGGTGCCTCTTACAACAAACAGGTTGGTGAAGTCTCTAACCCAGATCTCCACGAAAGTCTTAATCTGGAGGAAGGCCCATCTCGAAGGGAAGCTACTAATTGAAAGAGAATGAGTGAACGCTGTTTTAAGTGATCCATTCACATACTTTTTGCTATCATGTTTTTGCCTTTTACGCCTAAAAGAATGTGTTTCGGCAGATAATCTCTGGTACTGACGTTTTATGTATGAATAACCGAGTCTTGCTTGTGGTAACAATTGATAGGGAGAGTAACACGAATCATTTACAACAGTACAGGCTCTAGTAGGTGTAGGGGCGGTCGGGCGGCCTAGTGGTTAAAGCGTTCGCTCGTCACGCCGAAGACCCGGGTTCGATTCCCGACATGAATACAATGTGTGAAGCTCATTTGTGGTGTCCCCCGCCGTGATATTGCTGGACTATTGCTAAAAGCGGCGTAAAACCATACTTACTTACTCTAGCAGGTGTACTACCGATACCCAAAATCATTACATTTCTGACACAGGCTGATCTACTCGTGTTATACCTCCAGCTCATTAAACGAATTTAAACGGGAAGAAATCGGCACTATCGGAAGGCACCGTTACAATTTCCAACACATGCACCATGGCCCACTTGCACAAAGCGACCTTAGCGCTAAGACTATTGTAAGCCTATGCTAAAGTATGGGAGTTAAGATCATCTTAGCGCTAAGATCGCTTTGTGCAAGTGGGCCATAGGACCATGGTGATATATACGTACCATCTGTTGTGCAAATCAGTGATCTACCAGTACTCAGAAGGTCAATGGCTGACTGGTTGACTGCAGGACACAGTCCAACAACTGCCTGTAGGCAGGCAATGTAGGAATCGAAGACTCTGCAAATGTAAAGACGCATAAAGGTGTCAGCTACGTCTTCTCGAACAATGAGTGAATTTGTTGGATTTAACACCGCCTTTAACAGTATTACAGTTATATCGCAGCTGTCAGCTTAATGTGGGAGGAAAGCCCGAAGTGATGCAGGTCTCAGACGTTTACCACTTCGGTGAAACCCACGAGCACGGGTATGGTGCTGACAAACCTTGAAACATAATCGGGGCGAACCGGGTTTCTAGGTTTGTCAGCACCATACCCGTGCTCGTGGGTTTCACCGAAGTGTTAAACGTCTGAGACCTGCATCACTTCGGGCTTTCCTCCCACATTAAACTGACACGCCGTGATATAACTGGAATACTGTTAAAAGCGTCGTTAAACCCAAATCACTCACTCACTCACTATTCCTTTAAGTCGAAGCTAACGCTTGTTATCAGGATGTGAAGCATATAATGTTACCCTGTTATGTCGAAGGGATTCCATGGCAACAGGCTATAGAATTATAGCCTTTATAGAATGTTGCAGACCCTGTGAGAAGTCCAGGTTAGAATTGGTCCCCGGCAACCGATACTGGTCGTAGGTGACCGAATGGATCGATGACTTGGTCAGTAGAGTCAGAACGTGCCACCGATCGTTGATCATATTATCAATAACTGAATTGTCTCAATTATTTACAGGCCGTCATATCGTCGGAAAATTTCAACAACAAACAAATAGGTGTTGTAAATTATCACACGTCCCCATTTTAAGATATTCTCATTTTTTCTACAACTTACCCACAGTGTTCAACCGGATGGAAGGGCGAGGCATAGAATGAGGTCTCAAAGACTGTCCCGCATTGCCGAGCCGTTTGACAGTGAGAACTTGAATCGGCAGCTTCAGATATAAATCAGAATGGACATATATAAGGATTGTAACACAATGGGAAAGCTTAATAATATTCGTAGCTTTTTTTAAAATTTCGCTACGAATAAGGTAGCGTCGTCATTTACATCTTCCCCTGGAAATCGCCGGACCAAAGAGTTCCTATCAATGGTGACACCCAAGTCAGGACAATCGAATCTGATGTCGACTTCTATATTGCAAAATGTTTTGTTTGCTTGTTTGTTGCTTAACGCCACACGCAGCAATATTCAAGCTATATGACGGCGGTCTGTAAATAATCGAATCTGGGTCAGACAATCCAGTGATTGACATCATGAGCATCGATCCACGCAATTAGGATACGATGACATGTATCAGCGAGCCTGACCGCCCGATCCCGTTAGTCGCCTCTTACGAAAAGTATGGTCGCCTTTAAGGACAAGAATGGGTAGCTGAAGACCTATTCTACCACGGATTAAATTTGGTACGTGCATTGTAACTAATGGGACGCAACAAATGTTCCGGGGTTTGTTGTGATATTTTGAATTTTGACCTTTTTTCTGCCTCGACTAAATTTCATATGGCCATTTCCCAGCTATTTGCGTTCAAAATATATTGCAATTTGGTACTATATGTGGTTTGGCAGAGAGGCAAAACACATATGTTCTATTTTATATGATATATTTGATCATGCTTTTAAATTCTCTCAAAATCAACGTTGGATATACTAGTATTCAACTTGAAAATTTGTAGTCGTTAATCTGAAGTCACTAACCTTTCGTAATATACACCAATACCAACGTATGATACATATTGCTTCGAAACATGTACATAATCTGCGTGTTTGTTAAATGAATCTAAATTATGTTGACGAAATGGTGCTCAAACGACTTTGTCTCATTTACTTACCAGAACCTCCACAGAGCATGGCTATCTGTGCTCTTTGGTCATTAAACGCCGCTCCTGTCATTGATGGGCAACTGGGGGCTGTATCCACACAGCTAAAGAAGGTTGCATACAACCTGAAACATGGACAAAACCATCACAAAAAAGCGTATGCACCGTGTCAGTGTACCGTGAACCCCGTTTATCCGGATAGAAATATTCTAAGGGACTGACCATCTTGCATTGTTGGAAGGTGTTGAACCTCTTAGTTTGAACTACAGTAAACTACGGTTATAACGAACACGCTTATAACGAACTGACGGATATAACGAACTACTTTTTTGGTCCCGATAATTAGTTGTATTATGCTGTATATATGCTTATAACGAACTACGGTTATAACGAACTAAAATTAGTAGTCCCTTTGAGTTCGTTATAACCGTACTTTACTGTAAAATAATATCTGCTTTTATAGCTGTAGCTGAAACAATATCTAATCTCAATACAAAATCCCAGCCGTTTTAGCAACGTTTCCAGCAAAATCACAAGCTAACACAATGTACCTATGTTGGGAATCGAACACGGGCCTACGGCGTCACAAACGAAAGCTTTAACCACGAGGCTTTTGAATAGCCTCAATAGCCTCCCCAGCTGGGCCACGTTGGTCTCTGGTCTCACCCTCGGCCCGAGAATATCCCTCCCAGATGCTCTATAACAATCGTCACCACTCGCCCCCTTCCGTAACCTGCAAGAAGGGACAAATCCGGGAACATTTCGGGCCAGTCCCATGCCGGTATGCCTGCTCGTCGGAGATAATCGGGGACGACCTGGGCAGGGTGGGCCTGGCATTGTCATCGTGCAGTTCAAAATGTCTGCCGATATTTCAAGCGAATGGAACGACAGGACGTCAACACATTGCTGGTGAGTCAATTGTCCATCCACAATAAGCAAATCAGTCCGCCTGTCATGTGTGATACCGCCCTACACCATGACACTACCGCCCCCATACCGATCATGGTGAATAATTGTTGCCCTGCCATGCCGCGCGCCGCTACGTCGTCAACAACGTTTTCTGCCATCTTTGAATCGGCAGCAAAACATGGTGTAACGCCATTGGCGAACAGTCCTTCCCTGGTGTAGGCTAGCCCTCCCTAGTCTTTCAAGCGGACTGCACAGGACCGGAGTGCTATTGATAACAGGAGCATATTTGAATCTGTTGCGTGGTGCAATAAAGTAATTAGACGGTGTTGTCTAGGTGTCGCTTTTTTAGGACTGCAACGCCCAAGTCACATTGCAACCCCACCCGTTTGACGTCCCACAGTCGATAAATTACACTTTTTGATTTGACATTCTGCAGATTTGGGATACTCCCCTTCAATCGTACCAACTATTCGCCACTTCGTCTGTTCATTGAGATACTGTCAAAGAGGCACGTTTAAGCGCGTGCTAAGCTCAACTGCATTAGTGTTTGTGAGTTCCCGAAAAGGCGCGCATACTATGGCATCTGTGAGTACGCGCATCACGTGCTGTTCATGCATGATGTGACATTTCATTATGATAAGATGATGCGCTTAGTTGCCACGTCACGGTGTAATTGTGAAGTTTAAATCTCAACAATAGCTAATATACATTCAGATCATTAGCCTACATATACATATTACATACACACACACACACACACACACACACACAAGCACACACACACACACACACACACACACACACACACACACACACACACACATATATATAAATATATATATATATATATGACCCCTGATATGGTTGGAATATTGTCAGACTCACTCACTCACTCACCCGTGGAGAGCCACATGAGGATATTTCGGGGTAGAATAGGTCTTCAGCAACCCATGCTTGCCATAAGAGGCGACTAACGGGATCGGGGGGTCAGGCTCGCTGACTTGGTTGATGCATGTCATCGTATCTCAGTTACGTGGACCGATGCTCATGATAAATTACCAATCACTGGATTGTCTGGTGCAGACTCGATTACCTACAGACCGCTGAATAGTATGACGATTAACAACCATAATACCTACCCACACATTTTGGACATATCATTCCCGGTCGCTGCAAAATCTGCAACTAATGCCGTGGCACAGGCGGACATTTGGTGACACCCGTCATATCCTTCAATACAAGATGACAACATGTTTATCGTGTATCTGGTGATTTTTCATGAATCAGCAAAACACGTACAAAGGCAAAGACAGTCGTCAACAGGAGCAGATAAACTTGATTCGCTAAGTCACTGTGTTTTAAACACAATTTCAAACATAAACATGTCAGTTATGTCATATCGTGTAAGAGGAAGTGAGTGAGTGAGTGAGTGAGTTGTGTTTAACGCCGCTTTTAAGAGTATTCCAGTTGTATCACGGCGTGCCAGCTTAATGTGAAAGCTTCGGTGAAACCCACGAGCACGGGCATGGTGCTGACAAACCTAGAAACATAATCGGGGTGAACCGGGATTCGAACCCACAATCAAAGGTTTCTGGACAGTGAATTGCGACGCCATATGTTTAATGTAAGAGAAAACTTATTGTGATTCAAGCTGTTCACGATTTTCACTTTTGCATTTTGTTAAAAGCATGTAAATACATGATAATTATTAACAATTGTATGCATAAATATAAGCTACACGGTCATAAGAAATCCATTGCACGATTCCGACTATATCAAAAGTATGTGTTTATGAATCCCTCATCAAATAATGATGATACATGTACCGGGTAAGCATATACTGCCCCACTGGTTTCACCCGTCACAAACACATGCAAAGGCAAGCCAAGTGTTCACCTGCACGAACACGGTAACGTATGGTACACATACAAATATCAATTGCACCGGACCCCTTTTTGGTCACCGATGCGTCAAATTTGGAAACATAACCAAATAACTACCCAAATACTTTTGAACGTTTTACTTATAAGGCCTTGGATAATCCTGATCGAACATCTTTTGAGCAAGACTAGTATGACGCTCATGGGAATCTTGATAGAAACACACCATTGTGATCAATACTTGAATTCTTCGCACTGCCAATCAAGACATTGAGCAACCAATACAACACAAAACATCTCGATTCTCTGTAGAAACGGATTCCATTTGGCGTAAATGGAAAAATCGCGAAAGTTGGAGTCACTGACAATCGGTGATAACACCACTGGTCGCGAAACTGTCCTGCTTTGCCGATACGAGGGGCGTTCAATAAGTTTTGATATAGTCACTGGGGGCTATGTCTGGGCTGTAGGGTGGGTTATTTAACAGTTTTACTGTACATCCCATCCCCCAGTGACTATTTCCTGTTCCAGCAAATCTGTCCTCCGTGGAAGGCGCTTCCAGGATAACGAGGACATAAAGGCTGCCACAGAGGCGTGGTTAGAGGGCCAATCTGCGGACTTCTATAAAAGTGGTATTAGAAGCTTGAAGGACAAATGGAATAAGTGTATTGAGGTGAATGGAGATTATGTTGAAAAATAAAAGTGCAAAAGATATTCTTCGACGAATTTGCAAAACTTATTGAACGCCCCTCGTAGCACGTCTTTCACACAATTTGCATGTTTGCTTGTTGCGTATGTCCGCACAGCAGTACACATGCCATCCTGTAATTTCAAAATTTCATCAATGTAAAAATCTTGAAAGAACTTGTATAATATTTCAGGACAGGATGCCTTTGCTACACTGCACGACAATATAATGAGATCACCTTAAAATAAATTAATTGTATTTTTGCATCTTTTTTCGATCACTTACGCTGCGGTTTGGAAAATGTTTGATTAAAAAATGGCGCCTTCAATAGTTATGGGTTTTTTTATAGATGAAAGGAATATTTACGAACCAGTTTGTCGTCTCAGTCTTTTAACACTGCTTCCAAGCTGTCACAAATCAAGAAAAAACTGTTAATAACAGTTGAAGTGAGCATTGTATGCATAATGTTTATTTAACTAACTAAATATATATGTTTAATTGATGAGATTGCAAAATGACTGCATACAAATAAAAAAATATATAAAAAATATATCAAAGATATAATATGCATGTAACATAACGTTCCTACCTCGGGCATAGCCAAAGCCTGGCCCAGCACCACAACCAGGACGGCTGTATTTAGCATGACGAATTCTAATTGCCAAGTGTTCAATTTCAAAATGCTTTGGTGTAAGTTATATAGCAGTGCAAAAACCCAAACGTATTTGTATCACAAAATTACATTTTAATCAAAACACACCTGTATCTAATCAATACCTTTCTTCTACATTAAATTTGATATCGTCTAAAATTTCAGCAGAGGACGATCTGAATAAATAGAAATTACAATAAATGTGTGCTCAGCTTATTTCTTACATGTACGTCAGTTAAATGGACATCAATACACCTGATTTGCTAAGGTACATGGCATGACTCTGTCATCTGTATATATGCTTATATGCTTGTCAAAACATACATTATTTGTACACTGCTCGCAATTTGTCTAGTTTTAATACACATGCTGTTGCCAAGCACTGTGTTGCACGTACCATGTTTTTGTTGTTTAACGCCACGCTCAGGAATATTCCAGCTAAACGTCAGCGTGCACGGGCCAAATTTACTGACCACCGGTCAAGTTTACTTCTGACATTGCACCATAACTCAAGCATTTATTTCAGCTCGAGTATAGTTTGTTTGTTTCATGTCTAAAGCCGCACTCAGCAATATTTCAGCTGTATGACGGTCGTGTCTGGACCAGACAATCCAGTGATTGACATCATGAGCATCGATCCATACATTTGCAATTTCCAGGATTTGCCATTTTATTTGTTATGAGGTGCTAACGTCATGGGCTGCCATTCTGGGATGCTGAAACAGGGGACTTTATCGGAAATTTATAATCTGTGAAAGGAGCAGAAAAAATCATTGGCATCACAACACATACTTTACTTGATGTACAATATTTCCATCACGATATGTGTCATGTGTTTTGTGCAAATTGCATAAGCATGTCCCATGCTGTGTGTTGTGTCCATCAAAATTTCTAGTGTTCACGGCTAAGTTTAACTTTCGCCCAAATGCAGCCTGTGCGTGCTGCATTCCCGCGCTTTCGTATGTTAGGTGCACGTACCCTGTTCAGAGCAAGGGTGCAGTGGCGCAGTCCGCTCTTGTTTATCAGACACAGGGAAACTGACAAGTCTTCCACACGATAAGGCGAGAGAACTACAGCTTGCCTCACTTGCTAACTTGCATACTACATCAGAAGCGTCGGCCACCGAAGAGTCAGATTTGACCAGTAACTCATATTCTAGACCGAAAACTGTGAAAGGTAAAAAGCCCAAATCAGGTTACACAAGATAAAGCTGTACTGGATGATATTTTAGCAATATTCCAGCAATATCACGGCGGGGGACACCAGAAATGGGCCTCACACATTGTACCCATTTCAGGAATCGAACCCGTGTCTTCGGCGTGACGAGCGAACGCTTTAACCACTAGGCTACCCAACCGCCCCCGTACTGGATGAAGCACCATCACAATGGAAATACAGAAATACCTCTCATACAATGCATTTACTTTACAGAAACCACATGGGCAAATAGCAAATTTGCAAATTCACCAGGATGTGTTGCATGATGTTGAGAGAGCAAGGCCCCATGGTCAGACAGTTTTGACAACATCAAATCAAGACTACTTCTTGATAACCTTCCAATCCTGTATTGCTGCCGTTTCACCGGGGTAGAAAAGAAAAGAACACAAGAACACACTTGGACAAGTTGAGCAACACATTTACTGTCAGTGTTTGACCAGAAGGAGAGTTCCACAAACCATACTGCCAAAGAGTGAGTGAGTGAGTGAGTTGGGTTTAACGCCGCTTTTAGCAATATTCCAGCAATATCACGGCGGGGGACACAAGAAATGGGCTTCACACACTGTACCCATGTCGGGAATCGAACCCGGGTCTTCGGCGTGACGAGCTAACGCTTTAACCACTAGGCTACCCGACCGCCCTACTGCCAAAGACTTAAACAGGGGACCCCACACAGGGACAGAGTCGACGAAACAGTGACAATTCTCCTATTCTGCAAACAAGCTCTCAGTGACTTCAAGAAAATGTTGTTCCTCTATCTCGAAATACAAAACTATTTCATCTATGTACATTGTGTTACTTGACAGGATTTTTCTTCAGGTCGACCAAATCATAGAGGTTCACATATTTTGTATCTCTTCCTCCATACACATCACGGGGCGGTCGGGTAGCCTAGTGGTTAAAGCGTTCGCTCGTCACGCTGAAGACCCGGGTTCGATTCCCGACATGGGTACAATATGTGAAGCCTATTTCTGGTGTCCCCCGCCGTGATATTGCTGGAATATTGCTAAAAGCGGCGTAAAATCATACTCACTCACTCTCCATACACATTACGTATCCCAAATATTCATTTTGGCTGATTATGATTTAGTGAGTGAGTAATTGAATAAGTATGGTTTTAAGCCGCTTTAAGAAATATTCCAGCAATATCATCACACGAGAAATGGGCTTCACACATTGTACCCATGTGGGGAATAGAACCCGGGAATTCTGTGTGACACCCCATTGCCCCTTGATTATAAGTATCAGCAGATAATTGAGTACATGGAATATGGAAATGTGAGAGGCAAATGACCTGTAGAGTGGTCGGGTGGCCTAGTGGTTAAAGCGTTCGCTCGTCACGCCGAAGGCCCGGGTTCGATTCTCTACATGGGTACAATGTGTGAAGCCCATTTCTGGTGTGCCCCGCCGTGATATTGCTGGAATATTTCTAAAAGCGGTGTAAAACTCACTCACTCTGTATCTAAACCAGACTACACAAATCATCTTTCTGGATGCCCGTATTTCTCACGTTGAAGATTATATAAAAAAAGATTTATCATTTACTGGCATTCTTTTTGAAAAAAAAAAATCTCTACTTTGATAGAAAGTTCCCTTTGAAATTGGAACAGGGACATTATTAGCCTCACAGCGGACAACTTATTCTAGTATGCAAATTTTCTTCAAGAAAGGTTTCTTGGGTTTGCATTATATAGATGACATTGCAGTAGCAGAGACTGACAAAGCATACGAGTCTTACCAAAAACTTTGTTTGTTTGTTTGTTTGTTTGTTTGTTTAACGTCGCACTCAGTAATATTCAAAGTATATGACGGCGGTCTGTAAATAATCGAGTCTGGACCAGACAATCCAGTGATTAATATCATGAGCATCGATCCACGCAATTGGGATCGATGACATGCATCGACCAAGTCAGCGAGCCTGACCACCCAATCTCGTTAGTCGCCTTTTACGACAAGCATAGTCACCTTTTACGTCGTGCATGGGTTGCTGAAGACCTATTCTACCCCGGAATCTTCACGGGTCAGACGACCTCATCGATCGGGTGGTCAGACTTGGTGATTGATTGTGCTTGATCGAACCCAGACGGCATGGGTTCGTTGTTCCAAATATCAGTCATAAGATTGCCTGGTCGAAACTCCAGGATTTACATACCGGCTTCATATAGCTCGAATACTGATAAGTGCAACAAAAATCAATCAATATTAACTTCTAAATATGTTTGTCATATTGATAAGGACCACGTGAGTGAGTGAGTATGGTTTTACGCCGCTTTTAGCAATATTCCAGCAATATCACGGCGGGGGACACCAGAAATGGGCTTCACACATTGTACCCACGTCGGGAATAGAACCCGGGTCTTCGACGTGACGAGCGAACGCTTTAACCACTAGGCTACCCGACCGCCCTATTAAGGATCAAGAGTTTATGAATCAACAGTTTATTTTCTGAAGATGTACACAATTAATGCAATACCTCGATTTATCTTTCTGGCTTTCACTGGAGATATCGCATGGGTGAAATCAAGCGATATCTCCTAAGATATGCTGCTACAAAGAAATTGCATCACAATTCTTTGCATTCACTAATCTCTCTGCCACTGAAGCTGACTAGCTTATTTCACATCCAGACACTGGTTGTTGGCAGAACGAGGTGGTACATGGAATCTCAACCGAGTGTATTTTGATATCATATATATCCAGATTCGTTGCTCGCGTCCGATTCTCTACATAACAGGAAGCAACCTCATTCTAAAGGAAGTTACAGAATGGTTATGTCTGGTTAGTCCTGTTTTCATGTTCCTCGCCATGATAGGGTTGGAATATTGCAATAGGCGGCGTAATACCTGACTGTCTCACTCACTCACTCACCCGTGGAGAACCCCATGGGGATCGATTTTAGTGCTAGCTCACTGAGATACCATGCCACAGTTTAACATGAATACCCAACTCAGACACTGTATACTGACTCCAAGCCGACCAGTCATTGTTTTCGCCCCTTAATGCCGAGCGGGGGCACGGGTGGCCCAGTCGTCTAAGGCGCCGCGATTCGCTGTGCAGAGTTGCGTCCCTTGGGCACGGAAGAAACCTATGATTGTGGGTTCGAATCCCGGTTCGCCCCGATTATGTTTCTAGGTTTGTCAGCACCATACCCGTGCTCGTGGGTTTCACCGAAGTGGTAAACGTCTGAGACCTGCATCGCTTCGGGTTTTCCTCCTACATTAAGCTGACACGCCGTGATATAACTGTAATACTGTTAAAAGCGGCGTTAAACCCAATTCACTCACTCACTCACTCACTCACTCACTTAATGCCGAGCGCCAGACACGGTAACAACAAGTACCATCTTTTACCGTCTTTTGGTATGACGCGGCCGGGGTTCGAATACCGGACCTTCCGCTCTCCGGGCGGACGCTCTACCACTAGAAAATAACGTAGTTTGAGAAAAAGGTTTATCTTAGAATCTGATGTGTCTTATCTACGTCATTAACTGACCTGGTAACACAGGCAACTGTTTGTTAACGATGTTGGTCAGCCTAA